AGAGAAGTTACTTGCCCTCTGAGCTTCTGCCACATCATCCATAAAATGGGAACTACAATGTTGATTTCCAAAGAGAGGTGAAAATTCAGCATGGGTTTGAACCTATCAAGGAAGCCATGATTACTTCCTTGTCCCTGGAATGGGTACTAGAAGAAGACCGCATCCTCCATCCTACTCTTTGAGTAACTGGGTTGGAGTTGATGATAAAAAAAATAGTATCCATGTCATGTTCCAGCTGTCTCTGCTTTGGAGGAGGCCCACCATGCATTGCTGTTGGCCCGTGACAGTCTCTGGAAAAAAAAAAACACACACACACACAGGATGAAAAATTTGGGAGAAAGAGGTGGCCCATTCCATTCCTATATTCCATTTCAATACTATGAAACGTGGCTCCCAGCTTCCTCCTCTTAATTTTCATCCATGGCTCATAGGTTGCCCTGGGAAGGAAGCGGAGGGCAGCGGAAGACTCCTATTGAGGTTACTCTCACCTGGCTCCAGTGATTTTCTTTAAAGCAAATAGCCCTGTTGCTACAGCTCACCTGCCTTTCCTGGGTCAAGTGCCCCTCCAACGCTCTGGGAGAGGACAGAAATACTCCTCAGCTGGAGACAAGGGCTCCTTGTTACTATAAATTAGTCTTCTAAATATCTGATTTCCCAGATGCTGTAAGGACATGACTCTCTGCTGCTCTGTGTGTGGTGTGGTGTGTGTGCCTCTTAGTGTATCTGGTTGTCTGGGGCATCATAATGGTGTGCTGTGACATGACTTAGAAAGGCCACAACTGTGAGGGGAAAGGTCAGGGTCTCCCCCCCCCATAAAGGAGTGAGGTCACCATGGCAAATCATTCGAGGGAAAGGCAGGTCATCAGGCAGGGGAGAAAGGCAGGAGAGAAGGCTCAGTTTCTCTCTCCCCCTTGACTTAGATAGTCTAGGTGTCTCCCTGAGTTTTCCTGAGTTGAGGATACCAAAAAACAGGACTTTACACCAGAGAAAAGGAAATGATTGGGGCAAGCTATTCCTCCAGGGACCCCATTAACCAGATCCATCTACCTTGAAATTGGGTTTGTGGCTATCTAGCTACAGTCTCGACCGTTAGCCATGGTCGAAAAGGAAGGTTAAGGGGATATCCCTCAGCTGGGAGTATAGCTCTATTTCCCCCATTGGGAGATAGCAGGGTGAGGGCCAAGTTGGACAGGTTCATCTAACAATGATCCCGTCACCACACAGCTCCACGTGCCGACACCCCCCAACCCACTGGGAGAGACTCTCCTACAACTTGGCCCCTGCACACAAGCCCACCACTTGATTGGATATTTGTTTTGATGCCAGAGGTTATGCTAGCTCTTTGCTCGCATAATGATTTTATTAATGATTCCATGGACTTTTCAAAGGCAATTACTGTTGTATTTTCTGTGGCCTAGCCTCCCTCAAGGAAGATCTTGATTAATTCAGAGAGAATTCTCACAGAGAGACTCCTTTCTCCTTCGAGGATGGTAAACAGGTGCTAAATGTTGATTTGTTCCCACCTCGTGACAGAGCAGACATTGTTGGTTGTGCTACTAATAGTTCCCTTGATGATAAGAACAATGCTTCTCACACTAATAGATTTAACATTTTACTTTTATATTCTGGACATTGAACACATTATTTTCGTCCTATTATTTTTTTAAGCTTTTCAAGGGCTGCTCAGACAATTAACCAACTCAGGAAACAATGATTGCTGTGAGAAATCAATGATGTTTTCAAAGGCTTTGGCATTTGGGGGGGAAAGGAAAGAAGAATGACTCAGCAGGGCGCTTGCTAAATTCCAAAAAGTTGTGTTGTTTCCAGAACACAGAAAAACTTGACTGATTTAGAGAGGTTTAGGATGAACCGTGAATTCGATGAACTACTTGCTGGGGATGTTTTTCAGAAAGGGATTCCTGACAGCATCCAATGCGGGGCGACTTCAGTCCCCTTCTGTCACCGCCATGATGTCACTGCTTCGTTCCAGAAAATTGCATCCTCTGCGATTAAACCCTGTCCCCTACTTGCCACACAGCCATTTGACTTCCCAAGTTGTAGCTTCAATAGCGCTGGACCCCCATTAGGAGTCAGGCATGGTGGTATGTGACTGTAATCCCAACACTCAATCAAGGGGCTGAAAGACTGAGTTCTGGGAGAACCTGGGCTACAAGTGGAGACCACAAAACAAAGGAGAAAACAAAACAAAGGAAGAGAGAGGGAGAGGGAGAGGGAGGGAGGAGAGAAAGGGAAGAGGGCAAGAAGGAGGGATATTTTTAAATGTTGATCTCACAGCAAGAGAGAGCAGAATAGTCATTCATGAGGGAGTAGGAGAGAGAGTGGGGGTGGGGAGAAGTTATATTACAAAATGATAGCCAGCTAGAAGCATATTCTGGTGTTCCACTGCATGGTAGGTGGGTCTAGTCGATCAATGTATATTTCAAACAGCCAGAAGCAAATATTTCTCATGTGCCGCTATAAGGAATTGATACAGTGGAGGTGATGGGCAGAAAAGGTAAGGATAACAAACGTAAAACAAGCATGGTTCTTATGTGTTGAGTGTTGTGTGTTGCTGGTGTGTCACACACCCGGTGTGAGGGTGTGAGGGAAGTGTGTGCTTTCAGTTACTTTTGGAATCATGGAAATTCAAAGAGCCCTTTCAGGAGGGAAGCTGATGAGAGCTATTCTTGTCTTAGATGTGCACATTCAACATTTGACTCAGCATTCATATTTCTGTGATTGTTGATGGACCTACAAAGATAGCTCAGCCTTATTCGGTAATGACAAAGTATCAGCACTCTCCAGAATGCCCATCAGTAACTCGTTAAATGAGTTATTGTAACCTCTATAAAATAGAACGTTGCATAGCCAATAGAAAAACAATGGGTTAGATCATGCAGCCATAATCATGGCTACATTATGTAGCTTATATAATATAATCCATCTTGCTTTTAAGGGGAAAAATGCAATGTGTGTGTATGTGTGGGGAGGTGTAGACAAATAGACAGATGTCTAAAAGAGTGACCCCCAAATGTAAACATGAGAAAGTAAAATTGTAAAATATTCTGGTGCCTTTCACTATATAAGTCATAAATACCTAATTTAGTTCATGCTTTTTTCAGCAATAATGCATCCATTTTATTTTCCAAACAACCACACTTACAGTTTGGGTGGTTTTTTTAAAATATTTTTTCTGTATGATTTATGAGCAAGCCTGAAAATGAGGGTATAAGAGCTCTAGTAAATTTGCATCACTCAAAAGACTATAAAAATCTTTTTTTTTTCTGAAGAACCTTATGCTAACTCTCAATAGCTATACTGATGAAATGACTTTTGGGAGGTGAATAAACAAACAGATGCATGGATGGATGTCTGGATATATGGGGGGTACAAAAATGGATGCATGGATGGGGGTACACGGATGAATGCATGGCTACATGGATGAATACAAGAATGGATGCATGGATGGATGAGTGTGTGTATGGATGCACACAAGGATGGATGGTTGGACAGAGGCATGGATAGATGCATGATGAATACATGGATGGATGATACATGGATGAGTGAATGAATGGGTGTATGGACAAAGGCATGGATACATGAATGAGTACAAGAATGGATGTGCATAGGGTGAGTGTTTGGGTGATGTATGCAAGGATGTCTGCATGGAGAGAAGCATGGATGGATGGATGGATGCATGCATGCATGCATGGACAAATGGATACTCAGTTCTCATAGGCTAGTTGTTTTCCTTTTCACTGATGATCTGAATAATTCAAGATGGAAAGCCAGTCTGGAGCTAGGTGGGCCTCCAAAATGGTTAGGGTTACCAGCTACCTTGGACTTAGGAGCCTGATTCTTACAAGCAAATGACCTGATGAGGGTCCAGGTCAGGTGAGGACACGGCAGCCACTGTGCTATATTGAAGACAAACCTCGCCTCCCCAGAGGTTTCTTAGTGTTCCTCCAGCACAGAGCTCCATGAGCCCAAGGCTAGCTCCATGACCTAAGCCAGTAGATGTAAGGGAACACAGGAATGAATCCAGGGAACAGAGGAGATGTCCGACCTGATGCAGTCTGCTGGGGAGGCGGCAGGTTGTGTGGGAGATTAGCTTTTCCTTCCAATTTATACATTGAATGCTAGGGTTCAAAAAGGCACTAATGGTAGCCCTCATCTCACAGTTCAGAAAAGGCCCCTCCCTTCCTATGTCCTGGACTAGGAAGAGCTATAGTAAAAAATGTCCTGTTTGTCATGATGGCCACATTTTTTTGGTCCCATGCCTCACACATGTCCCCTGCTGATATTTCTGGAAGCAATTGTGGGATTTCTTTTGACCAGTTCTCCATCTGCCAGTTCTAGTCTCCATACAAACAGTTCCTCATCCATAGATTATTCCTCTCATCTCCATGTGGACAGTTCCTCATGCCTCTTCTCTTTTCCAAAGTCTTCCTTGTTGATGTCTCCTACTCAGGAAGAATTTTTCAGGATCTTCCCACTGCCACGACTGACAAAGGCCACCAGGACCCCCCCCCCCCGGCCAGGGGATAAAAGTCATGTCACATTTCAAGCAGAGATGAGAAACTATCATCTCTCAGGTCTGGTCACCTTGGCACATATTTCATTTAAAAGAAATAAAGAGTTGAGTCATAAAAGGCAAAGTCTGGATGGTTCATATATACTATTATAGAAATAATATAAGAACCAAATGGAGATACTAAATGCCAAACTTTTGATAATGATCACTTATTAAGCAAGAGAGAGAAAAATAACAAGAGAATGGACACAAGAGCAGCAACTCCATCTAACGGGTTTCATTACTTCAGCAGGAAAAAAAAGTGTCAAGATACTGCATAGGTTGAGTGGTCTTTTGTTTCCCCTCAATCTCTGCGCAGTTACAATTTTTTTTATAATCATGTGGCAGATACATCCTAAAGTAACCCCCAGGGGGTTCTATACAATAGCCTGCTGCCCCTTGAACGCACAAGTAACCTTGTGACTAGATTGTTTTCAATGTATAGTTTTAGTTTTATTAGCATAGGACTAGAGCGTGAGATTTCAAGACATGTACACAACGTGTAATGATCACATTGGAGTAATTGGAACATCCATCATCTCAGACATTTATCATTTCAAAACCATCTCTGTGAGCTATTTTGAAATAAGTCAATTAGTTATTGTCAGCCAGAGTTAATCCTACTGAGCTATAGAACATGAGTCGCTGTTTCTCCACATCCAGCTCCATCCCTGTCCCCATTAACCATCTCCTCTCCATCATCTTCCTCCATACCATGTCTAGGCTCTGGACAAGTATCCTTCTATTCTCTGCATTTAACTTCCATCTACCAACATTTTGCCTTCTCCATATGAGTGAGAACATCAGGGTGTTCATGCTTCATTCGTGACAGTCAAGGCAATCATTCCCAGAGGTAAATTATTGCACAGAAGAAAAAAGATAGGATGCCCTTCCCATGTTTGCTTTCTGATTTGTGATTCTCTGCATTAACAGACTGGACAAAAGACTCTTTCTGACTTTGAAAAATAAGATGGTGCCCTATAAGAGGTCCAGGCAGCAGGCTACTGTCCTCTAGGACCTAAGAGCTGTCCCCTAGTAGACAGCAACCAGAAGCCTGGGCCTGTAAAGAAATAAACTCTAGCTGCATCCTGACCAAACTTGGGATGAAATTTGCTCTTGGTGGAGACAGCAGATGAGAACCCAGCCCAGCTAATCCTTCGACTGTGACCTGCATTAGCCAGTTTCCCATGGAGGTGAAAAAAAAACTAACAAAAAAAATCACTGAAAGGAAGTAATAATTTATTTTGGTTCATACTTTTAGAGATTTCAGTCCATGGGTGATTGACCCATGTTCTGGGAAACTGAGACAATGCAGAACACCTTGGTGGATAATGTGTGGTGAAACAAGGCTGCTCAGCTCATAGAAGCCAGGAAGTAAAGAGGAGTTCAGGGTCCAGGGTCCCAGTGTCCCTGAAAGAACGCTCCTCCGTGACCTCACTCCCTTTTAGTAGGTTCCACTTCTTAAAGGTTCCACCACCTCCCACAGGCTGGAAAGCAGGCCTGGAATATGTAAGCCTTTTTTTTTTTTTTTGGAGGGAGGTGAGGAGGACACTCACAGTCCAAAGTATAGCAGAATCTTCTCAGTCCCAGAACTCAAAGAAACTGAGTTCCTAAGTGTGTGTTGTTGAATGCCACTAAATGTATGGTTATTTGTATCAGAGAGCAAATGCAAAGCAGATTTGTATGGAAAGAAAGAAGCAGGAATTCAGAAGATCTTCATAAATTATGACTGGTGTTTCCATGATTCAACAGGAAGTAATTTAACATACAAATGCTCCAATGGCTGAGGTCAAGGATGGTCAATCCATTTATCTCCATCAGAATCTGAGCACACATCAGTCTAGAGGAAGAGTTGGAGTAACCCTGACACCACCAGTCACCTGAAACTCCTGTGTCTCATTTATAGGAGCTGATGCTAAGTGAAAAATCTCCTCACATTTAGTGATCTCTGGATTCCTTCATGCAACATAATACTTTTGAAGTATTGCATTCATTCCTTTTTTATTGTGGCTTATTTTTCCATCATCTGTCCATACACTGACTGTAGATACTTTTTGGAAAATACCTAGGTGATCAGAAGTGGCGCTATGGCTCAAGTTGTAGAGTGCTAACCTTGAGCGAAAGAAGGTTAGGAACAATGCTCAGGCTCTGAGTTGAAGCCCCAGGACCAGCACACACACACACACACACACACACACTGAAAATGACCTAAGTGCTCTCAGGTACAACATAGATTAAAAGACATTGACCTAAACCATGTCATTATAAATATAAATGAACATTTGATATCTATAAGTAAACTTAACTTTCCTCTCATTAAATGAATAAGAAATAAATGAATGCTAAGCAATTATATTTTGGAGGTATTTGTTACTGCAGCATATCTTTGCCTGCCCTGGCTGATACAATACTGACTATGAAAAAATGACTGAGCAGCGTTTGTAAGAGCCACAACATTTGCATAGAAAAACCTACGTGTGGATGTAAAAATCAAAGAGAAAAGGTGTTCAGTCTGCTTAAATATAGACAAGCCAGCCGGGTAGCTCAGTCCTGTAATCCTACCTACCCAGGACGCTGAGATCTGAGGATCAAGGTTCAAAGCCAGCCCAGGCCGGAAAGTCTATGAGACTCATCTTCAATTCATCACCAAAAGAACCAGAAGTGGAGCTGTGGCTCAAAGTGGTAGAGCACTGCTGGCCTCAAGCAAAAATCCACTCAGAGACAGCACCCAGGCGAACCAGGACCAGCACCAAAAGAAGTCAAAAAATAGCCAAGCAGTATCAGGTCTAGTAGGGAGGTATCCATGTGGCTTCATTTCTGTGCTGGACACGGGGCAGCTGGGTGGACTTCCTCTCTCCATGCCCACTTCCTCATCTGGTACATGGATTAAGGGGAGCATCCATTGTGTCGAGTGGTAATGGATGTAAAATGAGATTATACTCACCAAGTGCTTGACATCATACCTGGTAGAATAAGTCCTCAAGGCATGTGACTTATGACTGAGCCATCGGCACAGTATGAGCGAGAAGTCAGTTTGCCCCTGTGAATCCATCCTGAAGGGGGCCTGTTTGCAGGCTTGCAAGGGTTAACCAAGATGCACAAATGTACACACACAGGCACACACACACACACACACACACACACACAGCTCTGCATGCTTTCCTTTGATCCCACTGCCAAGGCAGGAATGGAGAAGAAGCTGGCCTACTGCACGGCCCTAATTGCATTTTCTTCCGACAGAGGGTCTGTAGCAGAACACCTGCAGTCCTGCGCTACGTGACTGCAAGGCTGTCGCTCCCTGGGACAGCGGAGGCACTGGCAGCGTACAAACTAGGGGACTCCAGGGACCCCACCCCAGAACCAGAGTCTCCTCCACCAGGCTGGGGGCAGCCCAAAGTTCTGAAGTGGGGAGAGAATGCCCAGACATTTTCCTGATGCTGTGGGAGGTGGGGGGTGGGGGTTAAGAACAGGGGATGTGGTGGGGAGTATGGAAAGGCCCAGGAGTCAACGTCTGAAATCAAGCTCTGATGTCAGGAGCTGTGTGACCTGGGGAAGGAACTTTGTCCTCCTTGAAAACCAGTTGCCTCATACCTGTCATCCTAGCTACTCAGGAGGCTGAGATCTGAGGATCGTTGTTTGAAGCCAGTCCAGGCAGGAAAGTCCATGAGACTTTTATCTCCAATTAACCACCAGAAAACTGGAAGTGGAGCTGTGGCTAAAAAAGCTCAGGGACAGGGGCTGGGAAGGTGGCTCAGTGGTAGAGTGCTTGCCTCGCATGCATGAAGCCCTGGGTTTGATTCCTCAGCACCACATAAACAGAAAAAAGCTGGAAGTGGCGCTGTGGCTCAAGTGGTAGAGCGCTAGCCTTGAGCTGAAGAGCTGAGGGACAGTGGGCAGGCCCAGAGTTCAGACCCCATGACCAACAACAACAAAAAAAAAAAAAAAAAGCTCAGGGACAGCAGCCAGGCCCTGAGCTGAAGCCCCATGACCAATCAGAAAAAAAAAAGTAAGAATTGTATATTCCTTTAATAAAATATCTCAGACTAGCCTCAACTAAAACAGTTTTTGGTCTTTTATGGCATGTGCTTCTGTTCCAAATAACCATGCATTAAATTTTTTGTGTGTGTTGTGGGGCCTGAACTCTAGGCCTGGGCGCTGTCCCTGAGCTCTTCAGCTCAAGACTAGCGCTCTACCACTTGAGCCACAGCGCCACTTCTGGCTTTTTCTGCTTATGTGGTGCTGAGGAATTGAGCCCAGGGCTCATGGGAGGCAAGCGCTCTACCACTGAGCCACCTTCCCAGCCCCGCATTAATTCTTAACATTGCACATGACTCAAATTTTGATGACATAGAACAAAAACAAAAAAAATAATGATAATGGTTTGGACGCACTGGTTTTTTTCACTTCCTTTCATGATGCATGCATGCCCTACGATCTTCCTATTTTCTCATAGCTGAGATGACTGGCAAGTGCCACCATTTCCAGCTTCTTCTGCTGAGATGGAGTCTGACAGAGTCCTCTGCGTGCCAGCCTCCCATGTAACCAGGGTGACAGATGTGCACCTCTAGCACCCAGCTCCGGGTTGGAGGAGGGAGGTCACTTTGGAAAGAAGTCATGGCACCAACCATCCCCAGTGTCTTAAACCAGAAAAGCTATCTGCCATCTTTTCCTTGAGAGATGGCTCTTCCCAGTGGAAATCAGTCACCTCCCACTTTCCTCTGTGGTCCCAAATTCTGATGTATAAAGTCAAATCATTTGCCATAACATTGATCTTCCTTCCCCTCTTCAATGAGTTGGATTGTGTCCCCCATGAAGACATACTCAAGTCCTAAAACCTGGAACCCATGACCGTAGCCTTCCTTGGAATCAGAACCTTTGCAGAAATCAAGAAGATATGTCAAGATGTTGAGGACCAGAGAAGGCCAAGGAAGGCCTTCAACCCAGGTGCTGGTGTCACAGGCACCCACAGGGGGCCTGCCCCCATGAATACGGTGGCAGAGATGCACTCACAGGCCAGGGAAAGCCCAGCACACCAGGCAGCCACTTCTAGAAGACCCAGAGACACCTTGATTTAAAGCTCCTAGGCTCCAGAGTTGTGGAAAGATAAATTTCTCCTGTTGTTTTGGCCGCCAGGTTTGTAGTAATTTATTGCAACAACCCAAGGACACTAACATCCCTCTAAAACAGCCAAGCCTCTCGCTGCTGCTGGACGCTGCTGCCTGTGCTTAGTTCAGGGTGAGCGATGGCGCGGTTCTCATTTCAAAAGTCGAGCCAGCTTAAGTACTCAGGTCTACCCAGGGAGTAGAAGTTCAGAAGAGGGAAGAAAGAACTCCATAAGAGGCAAAGGGGCCAGACAGTGGTGGCTCTGGGCTGTCATCCTAGCTACTCAGGAGGCTGAGATCTGAGGATCCCAGTTTGAAACCAGCCTGAGCCGGAAAGTCTGTGAGACTCTTATCTCCAATTAATTACCAGGAAACTGGAAGTGGAGCTGAGGCTCAAAATGGTAGAGCACTAGTCTTCAACAAAAGAGCTCAGGTTCAGCGTCCAGTCCATGAGTTCAAGTCCCACGACCAACAAAAACAAAAGAATTATTAAGGGCAGGAAAGTCAAAAACTGAGCTGCATTTTGAAATGATGTAGTTGACTTAGCATGGAAGATACTTAGAGAAGTGGGGAGTGGGTCAGAGGGGACCAGGAGACAGACTGGGAGATACCAGAGCCACCCAAGCCCTTGGGGACACTCCCCCCCCAAGGGGACAGCTTTGGCCATGTAATTGAAGACAGTCAATCTGTATCCTGCAAATGCTAAAGGCAAGCACAGAACCTGTTTCCCCAGGCCTTGAACGCTGATGGCTGGTAGCCCATTTAGGGGATTGAGTGGGAGGGATCCTAATGCAATGCCCTGGATGGTTTTTGTCCGTATCCAGAAAGCTTCCAACAGGATAGTGATGGCCTCAAATCACACACACACACACACACACCCTGTCCTGGCAAGAGATCACCTTGAGCAATGGTCTATCTACTTCTACTCTCAGCTCGGCTGCAGGAATCGACTGTGATCCTGCAGAGAGCCAAAACAGCATGGCTCCTCCTCATGAGTCACCCCTGCGGGATGCGCTATTTTCCCCAGGAGATGCACAAGTCAGGCGGCTGTGTGTCGTGGCCAAGCAGGGGACCAGAGCTGAATGGCCAAGAGCTACCAACCATGGCAAAGAGATGAGCTGAATGCCCACATCCACCCCTGCCTGCCCTTGCTCACTTCCGAGAGGCTAAGTCACCAGCAGGCCTGTGTCTGAGATGAATGCCCCAGAATGCTGACCAGGCCAGAAACAGGAAGATTTTGGGGAGAAGCCTCGATAGTGAAGGCTATCAAGTAAGACAGCTCTTGGCTCAGCCCAGGCCAAACCTTGTGTGGATCACTTTGTATCTTCATCCTCTGCTAGAGTAGTTGAGAGCTGTTACTTAATGGACTCCAACAAGGCCCTGAGTTCAAGCCACAGGACCCATGCCAAAAAAAAAATAATAATAATAAAAGATCCTCAGATTCAAAAGCCAAGCCTGCTTTCCCCAAGAGTCTTTTTTCTGTTATCTAAGAACATGCCATCTGTTGGTCTTTAAATATGGAAGAAAGCCAGCCTTCTGCACCCCCATACCTTGCCTCACCTCACCCCACCCCTGAGCTCGCCTTCCCTCGGACCCAGTGTTTGAGTTCCTCGCCCTTGCTAAAGATCCCTTACCACAAGCGAATTGACTCGAAGCCCACAGCAGCTCTTGCTGAGCTGAGGGTTGGTTGGCCTGTCCCAGAATTCAATCTGAGGAGATGATCTGGGCAGCCTCCTGACCGCGGAGGATGGATGGTGAGCATTAAAGACCAGACAGCAGCTACCTCTGTCTTCTATCCCCAGCACAAAAAGCCTCCCTACCCCCAACAAGAGCAGATCCACTCTGACCCCCTTAGAGGTCCCCAAAAGAAGATTTCTGTTCCTTTCTGTGTGTGCATCCCCACCAACGGAGACCCCCTGTTTATGGGGAGAACCACAGGGAAAAGTAAGGTCAATGAATTTCACAAGTGATAAAGCCTGGCAGATAAAATCCTCCTTCTCCCTTCCAGTTACCTCCACACTCAATCACTTTTGGATCTGTCTGTTTTCTCTTGCTTCCTGGCCTTTGCCCATGCTGATCCCTCTACCAGAAATGTCTTGCTATGAAAAGATTTTTTTTTAAGTAAACAGTGGCATTGTTCTTGCAGCCACTATAAATGATGATAGAAAGCTGAGTGTGGCGGTGTACACCTGTGATCCCTGCTACTCAGTAGGCGGAAGGATCCTGAGTTCAAGGTCAGCCTGGGAAAAGTTAATGAAGCTCTCAGCCTCAGAAACAAAACTGAAGTTAAGGCCATGCTACCCTTCAGTGGCTGGGTCAAGGCAGTCATGGTGAAATTGAACATTGCACCAGTGATGAACGTCGCTGCGAATGACACTCCATCTATTATTTACTCTACCAAAGTAACTCTTTGGTCAAACATATTTCTTGAATTGTGGTGTAAATGCTTGCTGTAAAGATTGACACAGAATTGCATCATGTGAGGATAGAACCACACAAATAAAACAAATCCAAGTGTGTCATGAGCACATGCAAATTCATGCAAATTATGCAAATGTATGCAAGTAGCTGTGCCAATCTATCTAAAGGACAGTGCCCTGGAAAGCAGAGAGGGGTCAGCTTTTCAGAAGGCAATCACCAAGCTGGACTTGGCAGTCCTTGGAATTGGGGTCACCAAGGAGCAGAAAGGGAGAGAGTCTGGATAGAAGGCAGCAAGCAAAGACTTGCAGGTCAGATACTTGAGAGGAGAGAGGCCAGCTCTATTCAATAAACTAGTACAAATCTGTAAAGAAAACTCCTGTTTGCAAACAAGGGCCCAATCTCTTGTCTCAAAAGTCAATTAACAAAATCTGAATTGGAAACCCATCTTTCCAGCACTGTCTTTCTCAATGTTTGTTGTGTGTTAGACTCACCCAGCATCTTTATTTAAAAGCCAAGCTGTGCTGGTCTGACAGGAAAAGAGGAGTAGGAGTCAGCCAGGCTAGAAATCTGCTTTGTAAAATATATATATATATTGCAGATGCTTCTGAATTAGGAAGTCCAGTGGATTTCTTTTTAGGAAAACTGTCACTTTAAAAACGCAGTATTTGAGCCAGGTAAAGATGGCTCCTACCTAAATAATCCTGAGATCTGAGAACCAAAGTTCAGAGCCAGCCCAAGCAGACAAAGCCAAGAGCCTCTTGTTAATTAATTAACCAGCAAAAAGCCAGAAGTGCAGATGTGGTTCAGGTGGCAGAGTGCCAGCCTTGAGTAAAAAAAAAAACTCAGGGAGAGTGCCCAGGCCCTGAATTCAAGCCCCATTCAAGTCATCTTTGGTATTATAATGATTATTCCTTCATGAAAGCCAGGAGCTAGAGTCTCCCTCATCCAGTATCCAGTATGGCCTGTAAAACACAGACCTGTGCATTTGTAAGTAAGTAAGCCTTCACCTCTCCTGCCTCCTATCACTGAGTCTAGTCTACTCCTTGGGAGCTGAACAGTGAATTTGATTGACAAGTTTGCAAGAGCCCACTGTTTCCTTTTGGGTGGAATTAAGTTGTTATGGCCTCCCTTCCTTTCTGTTCCTCCCCCCTCCCTTTTTTCTCTTCCCTTGTCGCTTCTTCCTCCCTACCTCTCTTCATAGGATTGCCTCAAATTTACAGCAGGGAGGAAATACTGAAGGTCATTAGGCCAAAAGGTCCAGCCCAGTTTAGCCAGCAATTGACTTGCTATTTTTATTACTGTCTGACTTCTGTGTTTATTCATTTCTCAGCCAGGCCAAACCCACAGAGCAAAAGATCTGATCAACTGCCTACTCCCTCCCCCCCCCCTCCACACACACACACTTCGAGTGTGTCTCAGTGTGTCTGTCCTCACCCCAGAGGGTAAATTCCCTCATATCCGTTGCCTGACTTGGCCAGTTCCCACTGAGGCCAATTATTCAGTCCCGATTAACCATAACAATCATACTCACACCCTCATTTCACGGCTGTCAGAGCTTCCT